TGCTTCAAATGCCTCAAAATTGCTAATGGGCCACATTTTCTTCCAAGAATCATCATCCAAAAGTTATGCACGACCCATTGACCCAAAGGGGAGTTATTTCATCATTTTTTATTATTTATTTGAATTTTTATCACCATTAATTCATTTAATTAAAATAAAATATGACAAAAATAGCAAAGCATGTGTTTTAAATCTTTTTGCAGCATATTCTCTCATCTACTCACTCAAGATTTCGTGCACACTCAATATGGCAAGAATCTCCATTGATTGGCATAAGAATGGTATGAAAAAAAGATTGAAAAAGATACCATTAAAAATCAAATATTGAAACATTGATTGCAAAGGTTTATGGACTTGGATTTCTACCCTAATTCGTTCCATATACATACACAAACACAACCCTAATGCTCAGAACCTGGAAGCTGCGCCCAAGAAGAAGATACACTTTGCACTTTTCTCTAAAAAATTTCAAAACTGAAAACACAGTTAGAGTTTGTTTCAAGGCAAAATAACCATTCCATAAGCTTGCTTACATTGCCAGGGATCTTTCCCAATCAAAATCAAGTCTTCATACAGCCAGAAACGGTAGAATCACGTGGCCCTGTTTCCAATTTTGTTCATAATCGTATTTGCATTTGCACCTCTTTTCCATATGTTTTAAGCATTGATATATACTAACATGGTTGTTCTAAAGCTGTTGGCATCATTTAATTGAGTTTTTGTGCCCTGTACGAGAATCTGCCATGGAAATTTTCTAGGTTTTCAAAGCTCCTAAATTGGGGACTTTTGCATATGGAAAAATTAGACAGCAAGACTTATACCATTGAAATCGTGACGTTCCAACGAACCTAAAACACTCATCGCGCCTTTTTTATATTTGTTCAATTCCTATTCGCTATTTTTTGGTGTTTCAGATTGTGGGGGTTCAAAACCCCCGCTATCTAGTTTTATTTTTCAGGTAGAACAAACAGCAATTGAAGAAGATGATGCGTGGAGTAGTGTGATTGGTGCGTTCAAATCGTTGGCGCGTTTTTTTGTTGATTCCAGAATAATTGCATGTTTCTCTTATATTATTTGTGTCCCATATTAATAACAAAGAGCATAAGCAGCGCAGCTGGCAAAGCATTGGCACGGTAAGCATTGGGACATGGGTTCGATCCCTAGGTCCCCCATATTTCTTTCTATTTTTTCTTATAACATGATTAGGTGTCCAACACGCCCAGAGGTCCACCAAATGCCTTGCCTGCTTGATTGCCACATATCTCTGAAGATCAATCCATTGGCTATCACCAGCTATCCACCATACGCATCAGTCAACACGTCCATATGCAAGCCAGAAAAGTCAAAATGGTCTTCTTCAAATGGGCCAAATTGCTGTGAATTCACCTACAACTTTGGGTCAACACCCCTCTTGTTTGTATCTCTTTCCCTTTTTCTTTTTTCTTTCTTTTATTTTATTTGTTTTAATTATTTTCTTTTAATTCATAAAATAAACTTTATAACATAAAAATACACAAAAAAATCAGAAACTATAAAAAATAAAAATATGTTTTAATATTTAATTCATAAGTAGTTTTGTAAATAAATTTTGTTAACTAATTTAGTTTTAATCTTAAGTTTAATTTTAATGTCCTTTTTTAATAAACTAAAAATATAAAAATTAGGGTTTCTAGCTTTTTTTTTTACTCTTTCTTTTTATAATTAAAATTTCTTCTTATTATTATTAATAATTAATTATTTTTATAAATAAATATGCCATGTAAATAATTAATGTAAATTAGGTCAAACTTGAACTTATTTCTTTAATAATTAAAAAATACTTAGAATTAGGGTTTTAATTCCATTTAATTTTCTCATTAAGTTTCATAAATACAAAAACTCCAAAAAATAAGTTCTTACTTTTATTTAATTTAATTAATTTACGATTTCGATTTAATTTCTTTAAAAGGGTCCAACGCCCTCACATTCTCGATTTTATTTCTTTTCGCACATTTACTTTTATTTCCTTTTATGAATATAATGTATTTACCCCAAAGCCTTGTAATAAATTAATTAGGACATTTATTTTCCGCATTTTTATTTTATTTCAAATCAGGTCTTGGTTTAATTTGGCGATATAGACCCGCGCCTTTGTAATAGCATAGGACTTTTAATTCCGCACCTTTTAACTGTTAATAACCACATGAAAGAATGAATGCCAAAAATAAAAACAAAGCGTAGATCACCAATGCATGACAAGATACACATGATTGAAAATAACACACAATTCACACACCACCCCTAGGGTACGTCTCACTGTTGCCTTGCCCCTCGAAAAGTGGTCGTCGAGTAGAGGACGTTTTAGTAAGTCCTCATGTCCATGAACATGGCATGGGGGTAGCTTCTAAGGTGTCTTCCTATTGCTCTGGTGACCACACTGTCCCTAATCCTCGAATTGACCCGAACACCTCCAATGGTGGTGCTACCTACCTCTCAATGGTGGGCTGGCACTACTTTAAGGACATTTACACAGACGAATTCCTTAGGGTAGGTAGATGACTCATAGATACTTGCTCTCTTCAAAAACAAATCAAAACTCTTTTCACACCGACACTTTTCAAAAAGCTTTCAAAACAATTTTTCAAACACTCTTGAGGACTGATACAAGAGTCGATCTGAAATCTTTAAACGAAACTTTTTCAAACTCACTCACACTTTGAAAAGCAAACACTTTTGAAAACACAAATGAGCAAGTATCTAAGAGCCCATGGATAACCATGGATAAAAAGGGTGCTAACACCTTCCCTTTCTATAAATCTACCTCCCGAACCGAGAGCAATCTCTATAAGGAATTTTTCTGTGCTTTTGTCCTTTCCATTTGGAGAAAATAAAAGACGGTGGCGACTCTTGCTTCCGCGACATTTCGCGAACCAGCGTTAAACAGTCAGTTCCAGATCCACCGATCACACTTGATGAGATGGCTTGGGACCAAGGATGCCGGGTTGTTCCTTTGGATTTCTTGCTGTTGGATACGGACAAGGTGGTGTAGCCCATGGTTGCCATGGCGGGGAGCTCCATTGTTGATATTGATTTGGGTATGGCGGATAAGCCCACTGCTGATGCGGGTAATATGGTGAAGGCCATTGGTGTTGCGGAGCACGACCTCCGCCACGTCCATTGTTTCGCCCTCGGCCTCGTCCACGCTGTCCTCTGCCATTGTTTCGGCCACCACGGTTGTGGTTACTGTTGTTATCGCGGTTAGGACGGGATGCCGATGAATTAACTGATGCGTCATTGTGAGACGCCATGAAAGATGAATTTTCGACTGAGCTTGACACCTTTTTCTGCAGTGTTGTTTCTTCCAAAATGATCATGGAACGAGCTTTATAGAACTGAGGAAGTGAATCAGCATGACGAATTTGAGATCCCACAGTAGCATATGCATCGGTTAGTCCCGAAATGAGTTGAAGAACTAAACGTTCATTCGATACAGGGGCACCAACATTAGCGAGTTGATTAGAGAGAGATTTGAGATGCTGACAGTAGGAGGAAGCATCAGAGAATTGCTCCATATGAGTTTGCGAAAATTCTTGCTCTAGGTAGAGAGCCCTAGAATTCTTGTTATCATAAAAGATGTCGAATAAGCGATTCCACGCGATTTCAGCGGTGGAATTATGTTCGATGATGGTGTTGAGAAGATCATCGGAGATTGTTCCATATATCCACTGCAAAACGACGGCGTCGAGACGAAGCCATGACTGTGGATCGGTAGTTTTGAGAGAGAGATCTGCGGCTGGTTCAGAGGGATTGATATGGTCAATTACTTGAAAAACTCAAGCATGAATTTTGAAAAGTTCTGACCACGTGTTATACGTGCCCTTTTCAATGCTCAGAGTAATCTTGATGAAATTAGTAATATTTGGGACAGTGAGAGCAGGGTGAATCGGTGTAGGAATGGTAGGTGGTGGAGGAGGGTCGGTATGACCAGATGATTTCGGGGAAGAGTTGTTGTTAGAGGAATCAGAAGTGGTAGTCATGGCTGTTTCGCGGTAGTTGAAGAGAAAAAGAATGAGGGATAGAAAGGAAGAAGGTTTTACGACTGTTTTTAGGGTTTGGAATAAACCAAACTGATACCATGTAAGATAATTTAGGCCGTGCCTTTTCATTCATGTGATAGTCATTTATATACACAGTACAAATATGTGGTTATGATTCTAATAATCATTGGTAATCAATACTAATAATAATCTTTCTATATTTACATATCTAATAAATATTATTGACATAGAGGTTTAGAACAAAATCAATTTGATTAGATTTCTGTAGATACAAACTTACTATGTGAAGAACAAGCATGTGATGGATATTGAAATTAAGCTTACTTATACCTGGATTATAAAGGCGGTACTCAATCAAAAAGATGATGTAAAGAATATGGAAGAATGGGATGAAATCATGGGATGTAATAAATTCAACATGGGTAAAATCTACAAAACACTGCAAGATTATATTCGAAAAGTTGAATGGAGGAGACTGATGTTTGGCAATAATGCTAGACTCCAAACCTGTTTTATCCTATGACTTATTTGTCATGAAAAAAAGAGATATTGGTCAAGTAAGCATATTGTGCAGTTAGAAAAAGTATGAAATATTCTTTCAACAACGAGTCAAAGAGATCGAGATTCAAGGAATATCAGTTACAGTTACTAGCATACAACTTCCAGTATCCATTTGCCACGGTTCATCTTCTGTAAAATGAGATTCCACATTCTCTTAAACAATACTTTGAACACTCTTGAAGGTGTTTAAACTGTGCCAAACACACATGATGCGTATAAATTTGAATTGGATTAGTCAATAAACATTCAGTGTCCCAAATACAAGACATAAAATAATCAAATCAACTACAAACTAGGGACTAAAACACTCTTTAGAACCCTACTCCTACAAACATGACACAACAAACAACACATCAAGCATCATTGCTTGCTTAAACCATCCCAAAATACAAACTCAACTTTTCAACAACATATAGAACAACGAATAATTCCATTCTCATTACAATAACCACACTTGACACTTTTCTTCATCTTCTCATCCAAAACCTTACAACTTCCGTTACATTCCCTGCACATCACAAACCTCATTCCTCCACACCCTTCACAAACTCCTAACGCCCTTGGAATCCCTTCCAAAAGAACCCCCAATTTCTCCTCATCTTCCAATCTCACTACGTCATCAACTCCTCCAATAAATCTCCCCTTCACAAACACAACCGGAACTTGAACTTGTTTCATTTCCATTAACTTCTTCAATTCCTCCTTAAACCCGGAATCCATAGACACATCGCGCTCGCGCAAACACACACAATAAGATTCAATGATCGATCTAACTTTATTACAATCTTCAAAAGTCTTTCTGATTCCTCTTAACGTGGTTGTGTAAATCACAACAGAATTTTCCCCTCCCGGAGGACATTTGCTCTCATACAAATTCAAAAGTGTGATTGAGTCGACAGACTTCCTCTCTCTTCTAGTTTTCGCAGTAGCAAAAACAACTCTCTTGATTTGTTCTTCCTCTTCTGAAAGTTCCGGTTCAAACAAAGGACTAGAAATGGAACCGGTACTCTTTCTCTCATTCCCAAAACTGTTTCTTTTAGCAGAAAACGGAGAACCTTTATTCTTAGGAGATGAATTTGCGGTGGATTTGAAAATTCCTTTAGGACTATAACTATAATCCAAGCGACGAACACCGCCTCTAACCATATTAGTAACTTGAACCTTATTCTCCTTCCCTGACGATTTCTTGAGTGTGGTTTTCGGTGACCCAAATTGATTAAGAAACTTCAAAGGACTTCTTGTATCAGAAGCCAAAAACCCTCGAAGAAAAGGTGCGGACTTTGGGCTTTTCTTAGGGACATTCGAAATGGGTACTCCTTCTTCAAGACCCTCCATGAGTTCCCAAGCATTGATTTTGATAACAGTTTCTGTTTCTTTGTCTCTCTGTGTTGGTGATGGGTTTGGTCTCGACACTGTTTCTGCTTCTGTTTCAGAAACTTTTGAAACACTGGAATCGGAAGAGTCATTGGAATCCGAAGAGTCGTTTCTGTTGCTGTTGTTGTTGCTGTTCTTGTCTAGACTCAGTGCTCCGTAGGTTGAGGAAGTGAGAGAAACGACATGGTTAAGGTAACCATTTTCTTGGTTGATGTCTTTTTTGATGAGTTTAGAGGAAACGCAACCCATGAATGATAGCGATGGGTTTGAAGAAGAACAAACCTCTGTTACTTTCTCTCTCTAACTCTGTGATTTTTGTTTTGTAGTTTTATCAAGGTTGTGTTACAAACCAACGGCTCTTACGTTGTCCTAACGGTTACCTCAACCACAATGGGCCCAACGGTCAAAAAATTCGAATCCCTTTTCTAATGTGAAACTGGTTTTTTTCTTTTCACTTTTATGGTTACATTAATTACAGATGATTTTTAACCATTAGTAGATAATTTTTTAAAACATATATGCATTGAACCTGGATCATTTAATAAAAAACTAACAATTTACTATAATATTAAAATAAAAGTAATGCTAACAAATGTTTCAGAAATATATTTTAAAGATTTTAAATAAAAAAGATATTTTAAAGAAATTGTTATTTTAATTTTTAATATATTGAATACAAATATTTTTAAAATATATTTATTTTTAAAAATCTATATATTTTTAATCTTTAAAAAAGTTAAATATTTCAATCTTCAAGACAATGAATATATTACCCTTGGCTCAACTATCCAACCGATCATTTGGTCTTCAATTGCAACTTTTACTCAATTCTACTTATGTTTTCATGTACAGTTGAGTTTGGTTACGAAACATTTTTATTTCTCCAATTAAATGCCTTTGGTTTTTACTTATGAGTTCTGATTATTGTATCATTTCGCAGGCCCCAATGTGTCCCATCCATACAGAGTAATTGGTTCTCCAACCTCCCTCTTTCACTTCTTTTCATCGATTCTCTAATAACTTCTCCTTGTATAATCAAACGCTCTCAACTTCTCATTATCTCCTCTTCTCGCCAGCAACTTGAAATCTGAATTGATTTAAAATCTGCAGTCAATGTTTTCCAACAGTTTCCAAATGGTCAGACCTTTCGAGATGATTGGTGACATCAATAACCGAAAAGAGCTGTGGAAGCTCTCCGTTAAGATACATCATAAATGGAAAGTGTCGATGACTAACAAGAAACATTTTGATATAGTGGTGGTAGACAAACAAGTGAGTTTCAATGTTCTTACCCCTTTCATCGTTTTCTATTTTGTTGTGTGTTAATTGCGGTGGAGACAAACAATAATAATGAATCATGATTTATATGGTATAGTTTAGGGAGAAATGTTTCATGTTAAACACACGTGAAATATGTTAGGTCTTGAGACTTAATTTTTCAACTCTGCTACACATTTCAGAAAAGTCTTGTCCTAGTTTTTTTGGATTCTTCAGGGTTATGCTTTTATGTACGCAAAGCTTTTGAGCAACAATATTGTTTTGTGGGTTGTTTTTTAGTTTGTTGATGACTGTGTTCCATATTGTGTTGAGTGTGTTTGTGACTTTGTTGTAGGGCCATGACATTCATGTGGTTGTTTCAATTATATTTAGGCAAACATTTGACTTTGTTTTATCCGTTAACTTGATGTGCATGAGGTCAAACTTTCAAGTAGTGCCAAATGACTTGACGTTCATACCTACAAACCACAAATATATTTTGAAGTTCACTAGTGGAAGCACCATAGGAGATATCGACAAACACGACATCCGTGATAAGATGACCAACTTGACCCCATTTGCTGATATCATTTTGAGAAAATGGCACAAGCATCTCCTAACTGGTATTGTTCCACATATTTTCATTTCCATTATGCATTAAACTTGAAGAAAACTATATTTTCATAACTATCAATCAAAATTTTTTCATAGACATCATCGGGGTTGTTGATGAAATTGGATACTCCCAGTCGCAAATGGGTGGGAAGAAACCACAAATTAACTTGGTCTTGAGAGATTTGGAGTATGTTTCTTAAACTAACCGGTTGTATTATAGTTGCATTATTCGTTGTGACTTCTACGTCCATATACTCACTAACCATGTCTATTACTTTTAGCGACAACATTGTATATTATTGGTTTTTACTTATCCATTTTTCTGTTTTTCAATTATGTAATTCCATTCTGAGTTTGTAAGGAAATTTCCCTTTGCTATTACTAATACCTACAACGTTATCAAAATACATATCAATGATGATATCTCGGAGATTATCAAATTTCAGAAATGGTACTTAACATATTACACTACTACGAAAATGGGCTTTCACAGCGCTTTTTTTTGCCCTTTAAAAGCGCTTAAAAGCGCTGCCGTAGCCAGCGCTGGCGTAGGCTACGAAAGCGCTTTTTTCTGGCCAAAAGCGCTGTCGTAGGTGGACCTATCCCAGCGCTTTTTCCTTAAAAAGCACTTTGATAGGGGGGTCTTTCCCAGCGCTTTTTGAAAAGCGCTTTGATAGGTGTGCTATTTAAATTTTTTTTTTTATTTATCAGGCCTTTTACAGCGCTTTTTATGGAAAAAGCGCTTTGATAGGGGGGTCTTTCCCAGCGCTTTTTCCATAAAAAGCGCTTTGATAGGGGTTCTATTTAATTTTTGTTTTTTTATTTATCATGGCTTTTACAGCGCTTTTTATGGAAAAAGCGCTTTTGATAGGGGGGTCTTTCACAGCGCTTTTTCCATAAAAAGCGCTTTGATAGGGGGTTTCTATTTAATTTTTTTTTTATTTATCCTGCCTACGAAAGCGCTTTTTAGCCAAAAGCGCTTTCGTAGCTCATACAAATTTTTTAAAGTGAAACCTATAATTTGAGGTTCCCTGTGCGGCCTGTAATTTTTTTTTGGTCCAATAATTTAACCTGTAATTCAATCCTTATCTATACATATATTTTAAGAAATCGGTATTATATTAACAGAAACCGGTATACCATATAATATTCAATCCTTATCTATATATATGTAACTAAATCATATATAACTAAATTTGTAACCATATATACATTTGTAACCATAACTAAATCACATACAAAGTATCGTGTTAATTTGTAACCATATATATATACATATGTAACTAAATCATATATAATTACATCGAAAATAATGCTCCACCGACACGGTCGTCATCCTGCAAAGTATGAATATGAACAACACGGTAAATTAAACAAACAATATTAAAGGCTCCAACACAATCAAACTAACACGTACAATAATATTTTATTCATACCCATCAGAATAATCTGTTTTCAACATAAAATTGACATATTTCCTCTTTGACTTCTTCCACTTGAACTTTCGTGTACGACATAGTATAGAGGTCATCAAAGTACTATATAAGAAATTATTACTTCAGTATATGCATGATGTTATTAAATGTAGAAATCATACAAAATTATTCTAAGTTATAAATCCATACCGTGCTTGGAATCTCTACTTGATTTTTATGAAGGATTTCTTTCATAAACCTCAAGCAAAAGTATCCGCAATCTACATCGTTATTCTGTAACGGACACTGCATAGAAAAACAGAATATATTTTATAGTTGTCGTGTAATTTTATCAAGTAACATAACTATTATTATAAGCAACTAATTTTGTACCTGCACTTTAATCCAAGTAATATTTGATGATTTACTCCGGGGTACCTGTGCGTCCCTTTGACTACGAAATATTTGTATTGATCTAAGAAAATAAAAACATATATTTAGATCAATCTCACAGAAATAATTAAATATATAAATATACACGAATAGTTAGAACGATCTCACTTACTGATCAACAGTTTCCTTCATAGCGGGATAGTTAGTCCATTCCCCGTCTACCGAATTCAGAAAGTACACAACTTCTTTAATCGGATCGATAGCCAACAACAACCAGTGTTTTCTAAAAATTTAAGCAACAGTTTAGAAGAAAAGTTTCTACGCAAAATAAACAAAGATATATTAGAATAAATGAAAAACTCACCCCACTGGAACAGTGTTATACGGCAAAATAAACAAGCTATCTGGGTTGCCGACGTAGGCTGTGTATCGATTCACTAAGTACTCCCTAACTGAACCCGGTTCCCTGACAATTGTCGCTCCTCTGACAATATGGGCAGACAAGAAATGGAAGCGTCTTGCCAATACAGTCTCGCGCATTTTTTTATCGTACAACAACCTTAAATAAAAACATATAAACATTAGACTATTTTCATTGAAATGTGTAAATAAATTGTTCAACTAATTAAATGATATATTTATCGGAATACCGGATGTATGCGTGAACATTGCCGATGCCTAATTCACCATGCGTCATAATCTCAGTCATTTCATCCATTCCTATCGTTTCTTGGCAGTCAAGACCAAAGATATCTGCATCCATAAGGATTAGACGAATACCACCTGACTTCAAATCTGAGGTTTCCAAAAGTACTCCAAGTGTATTCCGATATCGAGGTACAAAAACGCCTCTTCCCCCGCCTCTTCCCCCCTTATGCATTGACTTTTTCGGGGGTGGTCTGCTACGAACAGGCTGGGTCACTTGTTGTGACACTTTCGTAGATACCTAACAATCATATAACTTAGGTAAATTATAAAATCGTTCAGTTTTAAATTCATATCATATAATAAACAATTTAAGTGTACCTCTGGAATTGATGCCATAGACTCGCCGCCTTGCTGCAAAATCTCCTTACCCTTATTAGCGGGTTTTGTAGGAGGCTAATATTAAAAAATATTTAACTTAACGGTTCAGAATTGACATTTGAAATCTAAATGATTCATATTAACGGTTTTAAACATACCTCATCATCAATGAAAATGAGGTCCAAGGGCCATGCAACAAACGACCCTACTGCGTCTCGCACCGATCTTATATCCAAGGCCACGTCAGGTACCGGTACCAACGCATCGGGATCAATAGGATAATCTACTGATACTCTCAGGTGTCCAGCCGGGATCGGTGTATTATGAATTAAATCTCCCAAAGTGTTGTACACTTTTCCCTTGCCAACAAGGTGATAATCTGATGCCATTACGTATAGTTGGCAAGATGAAATGCCCTAAACCAATATGCATACATATTACTTTTAATTCAATAATAGAAAGAGGTGGAATAAAAATGAGAAACTTGAACAATAGAGATTTATCAATATATTTATAATTACCTCAGGAAATTTATTCTGACGGTTGATACTAGCGTTGTCACTAGTTTCTTTCGCCATTGCCGCATTGCCCTTTTCCCTCATTAATACCTCTTTATCTCTTTCCAATGCATTGACTTTTGCTTGTAATTCCATAAGTACATTCATCACTTCTGCATTGGTAGGATTTCTTTTCCGAGAATGCTGGTAGAAAGAGGTTGGAGTCACACCATGACCTTTACCCCTCACCCGACCGGAATACTCAGGAACATTCAGTGCTTTACTAAGTACGCTCCTCGTATCCTGGTCGTCACCGGTGGACTCCGTTTGTGACAATGTCTCCTGAAAATAATGGAGATAAAAAAATCAATTAAATAGTCATAAAAATTTGATTTAATTAAAGACACAATGTTATACTTACGCATTCATCATAAATTCTTAGAACACTTGGATCAACAGCTTGATTCTTGCCCACACGAGCTTCCTTCCACAGCAAATGTGCTGGAAGTGAGGTTTCATCACTTTTCGTCTCCTCTAACTATGCATAGAAACAAACGGTTAGATCGTCAAATACAACACATTAAGACAATTAATAAGAACATATCATTTCTATTTATTACTTACAATTTTTTCCTCTAAGCGTGCATATCCCAAACGCCCTTTTTTGTATGGATACGCGGGCTTTGATGCTCTCTCACTATTTTTGGCACTCTTTTGCCGGAATTCGTCATCTCTTTGTCTAATAAACTCAGTCCAATCTTCTTGTTTAATGAAAAGATTATACTTTTCTGGCCTTCCGGCCGGGAACTCTTCCAGCCACTTTCCTTTGTCATCCTTAAGATAGGTGTTCGTCAACAGATTTTTCCACCCTCTAAATCTTTTCCCGGCCAACCCAAGTACGAAGCCTTTACGCTCATCTGGAACGTTAAAAGACCGCTGCGTATAAACCATATAAACATATAAGTAATTTAAAAACCATATAAACCATATAAACATATAAGTAGTTTAAAAACCATATACACCATATAAACTTATAAACTTATAAACATATAACCATATAAACCATATAACATACATACCTTAACATCTTCCCAAAACATTTCTTTTCCTTGCTTCAATGCTTCACATTGTTTCTCATTCCATCTAGATATGGAGATTGGCACATGCATACGAACAAGTGTACCAACGTAGCTTGTGAATTTTGAAGCATTAACCCCAACTACTTGATTTGAATGATTCCAATCTACATTATATATCACTCCCTTATCTCTAGCACGAATGATTTCGCGCATTATGGTGATGCCTCGTGAAACATCATTTGCTGAAGTATCATCCGCTGCATGATTTGATTCTTGTGAGTTTTCATGATCTTGTTGGTTTCCTGGTGGGTTTTCTTGTTGGTTTCCTTGCGGGTTTTCTTCATTGCTAGCCATTAGACCTGTAACAAAAGTCAAACAAGCACATTAGTACACTACATGAAAATGGATAGTCGAAAAAGATATGAATAGCACTAAAGGAACTCAAAATTGAATAAAATGCTAAAAAACCAAACTTGCAAGAAATAAACCTCACCATCAGCTCCGGAAACATTGTTCTACTAAATAAACACTAGTCACATTCGCAAAAATTCAAAACGGTTCAAAAGATATGCCAAAAATTCAAAACATTATTCACATATTACTTACAATATTAGGCTATAATTATAATAATACCTTTTTCACTAACGTCTCTTTCTTTTCTTGGTAGCAATATATTTTACGCTTCTGTTAACAACTCGGATGGTTGGATTGATCCAAATACCCTCATTATGATCATCTCTAGTACAAGGTTCATTCTCATTTTGATCGTTTCTTGTACAAGATTCAATGC